AAATAACTAATGAAAATAGATCACAAAAGTATTTAGTGTTTTCAGTTTGTACATTCTTTACATTTCTTTTGGACCTAAGGCAGAAAACTGGAAACATGGTGAAAAAAAATCTTGTTGGTTTTTGACTTATGAATAATACTGTAAAAGGGATAATTAAATAACAATGTTAATGAAGTATTATTAATATAAGACTATTAACTTTATTTATCCCACAGGGGAAACTATTAATAATGAGGGGAACAAGGGAATAAGGTGAACTATTATTGTAACCAACTGTCATCCATACGTATTCATTTTAATAATTTTTATAATAATTCATATGATTTTACATGTGGCCTGAGAAAATCATGTCTATTATTTTGGTTTGTGAGATCGGAGATTGCACTGCGCACGTGTACAAACATTCAGGAGGACACAAATTTCTTGAGAATGCTGCCCCGTGACTTTTATTAATAAAATAGATTAAATAGCCTACTGGAGAGAAGCACAGACGCAGGTAGGCTAATTCACACAGGCAACTGTCACCTCTCTCTCGCTCTCGAATAATTAATTCAAGTAGCTAAATGTTATAATTAATTAATTAAAATAATTGTGATCTTACCACACTATTTCATCTGTCTGATCTGAAGTGGGCAGAATACTGAGCTAACGAGCCGTAGCTTCGCGTCAGTCTTGCCTTCACGTCGTGCATTAAAATAGTTTAAAGCCGTGTATTCGCTCTTTAGCAGCAGTTTTTACGGCAATATTTAAATGACACCCTGGTCATTCTTGGTGTACCCAAAATGGTCCCACACTATCGACTTCAGTCATTTCTCTGGTGGAAATAAAGGATCGCTGTTTGGTTCCTCTGTCATAGTTAATCTAGTGTGTGTAGTAGCCTCCGTGTCTCTGATAAGCACAGTATTTTAAGTTGGTGCACCGCTAGTGTAACTTTGTTTTCGTTTTAGCGCAAGTTGCAACTGTTCCGTTCTGTGCAACAGAAACACTCGGTGTAGTGGAGCCTTTACGATTAATTAACCGTGACATTTTAAAGCGCGGTTAATTGTGAAACCGGTTAATCGCTGCATCCCTAGTTACCATGGTTTAACTATAGTAACCATTTCTTTGTTTTTATTAATTTTTTACATAATAAATGTATTTATTAATTAATTAATTTGAATAGTAAAACTATGGTTAATTTTTGTAAGGGAAGTTGTAAAGTAAGTTAGCCAGCTTACATGCTTTCACAGTTACAGTAATTGTGTATTTCGTCAGCTTATTTAGGCTAATAATAAAAAAAAAAAGAAGAAGAAGCAAAGGAATCGTATGATCAGTATGTTAAAATAAACAAAAATCTCACCTTTCAGAGCAAACATTGATAAACATGTCCCAGCCATGTTCATCACTTTGCGGTTCCCTTAAACATTTCCGTTGTGGTCTCTGTGCCTATTTGCAGTGCGTTTCTGTATTTGGTTGTGTTGTGAGCATTTGCAGCTCGTTTCTGTTTTTGCAGCACGTTTCTTTATTTGGTTGTGTTGTGAGCATTTGCAGTGCATATGTTGTCAAATCGATGAAGATGTTTTCTTAATTTGCAGGTGTTTTTTCTATTTGCATGTGTTTTTTTTTTTCATTTGCAGCGTGTTGGGCTCTCTCGGCCACCGTAGTTTGGCTCTGTGTACCTTATTCTGGTCATTTGATTTTCTACTTAAAAAGAAATAAAGACAAATGAGAATCTTTTGTTTTGTTTAAGAAATGGAAAAACTAAAATTAAGATAGATTTTTATTCTAGGCATATTTAAGAAAAACCTCACAGGTAACATGTTTTTATTCACTATTACAAACAGCAATTGAAGCTATACATCTCTTATAACGCACAATAAGTAGGCTTCTGCACTTCTCGGGTCGTCGGAGGCGCCGGCGCTATCCCGATAACAGTGGAAGGAGTTTAAACCATCATTTTTGGTTATACAAATAAGACACCCACAATAACAACAAAACGTTACAAAACCCTTTTGTAAAATAAAGAAAACAAACGGTGTGCTTTCTGCCATCTTGGTCTCAAAGAACTTCTTTCTGAAATGCATCACAAAAATGAACCGATGTTCAGCGAATACTTGCCTCACATAAGAAACAAGAAAGCTTGAAATGTCTATTTTTAAATGAAAGAATTTAAATTGAAAACTTTTTTTATTTATGTAATTCAAATCGTATGAAACCAACAATAGGTAGGCCTACAGTGTTTCCCATCTGAGCTCATTATCTGTAATGTGACACCCACGCGCAGCGCACACTATTCATAAGGTAATCATCTAAGGAAATGAGGCTAAGGAATAAACCTTGTATTTACCTCAGAAAAAGAACGTGATGCGACGCTCAGCTTGATCCAGCAGAGGATATCATTTCTGACGAGAAAATCATTAATTATTACTTACAATAGTTACATTAACTTGTTCTCATTTACTAGTTGGGTTTTTCCAAAACAATAGTCTACTTATTTCAGTAATTCAACTCAAATTGTGAAACTCGTGTATTAAACTTTAAATGATCCTGCTTCAGTTCATAATTCCAAAATATAGCCTATAATTGGGTCTTTAACCATTGCAGTAGACTAATTATTGCGGTGAAAACTTAAGTAAAGTTTTATTATAAATAACATTAGTTATTTTTATGTGGGGTTGGGTTTTTCTCATGAAACACAAACTTTGTTATATAAAAAAATCAATTTTGCTATTGTTTGTAATAGCAAATGAATGAAAATATGTTACCTGTGAGGTTTGTCTTAAATAGGCCTAGAATAAAATGACTAGGCTAAAATCAGCAATCGCGAGTGTATTTTGTTCCATGTCGTTTTAGATCACATACAGTAAAAGTCAAATGCTGTTTTACAGGTTATGAATAAAGTAATTTCTGTTTTGTCAATAACATGCAGTAACCGTAAAAATATAGATTTTTTTCAATCTCGTAAGCGCCGTTAACAGCCTACATGACAAAGACGCAGGATTCTTATGAATAAGCTCGGTTCGCATGAACTGAGCTCGCGGTTGCCGCGTATACAGTGTAGTACAGAAGATGGGGGACGAAAGGGCCGTTTCAGGACCACCCATTCGAAACAAATATGAAAGCATAATTTAATTTTTTACCCATGAACAAAATTATGAAAAATCTAGCTTAATTTTTCTTAAACAAAAGGAAAAAACAAAAATCAAACCATTTCTCTTGATTTCTTTTTAAGTAGAAAATCAAATGACCAGAAGGTACACGGACCTGTTTGGTTACCCACATTCTTCAAACTCAGAAGATGGCAGGAATGTAATTTTTTTCTTCTTCTTTACACATTTTTGGTATTTTAATGGCAGTTGGCAAACCATCGTAAAAGGTGCATTTCTACCACCTGGCGGACTAGAATATGGGGTGATTAATGGCATAGTGATGGGAGAAACTCTCAATCAATTGAACTAGTTGCTTTGCAAAATGATTCACTGGCCCTGTCCCAAATGGCATCCTAAATCCTCGCAATAATCCCCACTTTTTTGATGTCGCTTTGACTGTCGGGTAGAAGTCTGCTGCAGAGCTCACCTCAGTCTGGGCTCGGCAGGAGTGCAGATCGAAGGAACATAGCAGCCACAAAGGCCCTGTCCCAAATGGCACACTTCATGTGCACTTTCAGTCTTGAGGACTCACAATGGCCGCTGCATGCACGTGTCCGTTAAGTCCACGAGATCGTAGGGTGTCCCATTCGTCATTTTATCTTTCAAAAGGGAGCTCACGAGCGTTTGCGGCCGCTATGTGCCCTCAATGCTCACTTTTGCAGAGTCCGCACTGAGGCGAGCTCCGCAGCAGACTTCTACCCGACAGTCAAAGCGACATGACTCAGAGGAAGACCGTGAGGGTTTAGGGTGACATTTGGGACAGGGCCAAAAGGGAAGCTCATGAGCACCCTTTTGAAAGCTAAAATGATGACACCACACATGAAAACACCACATGCTGGCGACACCTGCTGGTCAGAACAGTGTTAATGCAAAGTTTGCCCAAATGTGCAGAAAGACACCTTTTTCAAACCAATTACAAAAGTGTCTATGAAAGTATAATCAATTAAATGTAATCTAATAATCATTAAATACCCTTAAATATTAAGTGCCTGTATAATTTGTGTTCTTTTATAAATGTTTTATTAAGATGTTTTTAGGCAGGACTTGGCTAATGAAATTAGAAACAGATAACTTAACACTCTCCCTTTTTGATTATGCATGCATGTTCATTAAAACTGCGAACCACTGATTCAGAACAAAATATTCACAAAGGTTTCGAAATCACCTATGACACAAGGGAAGTACAGTTGCTTATATATTAGGCTATTTTTCACCAAACTCGATCATAATACTTTAAAATGATCAGCATATACATTTTTTGCTGACACTCTTACTGTAAGTTAGTGCATTGGTGCTACAGAGTCACAAATTCACTGCCATTACATAATTGAATTCACCCACCCAGATATTTATTAAATTGCCTCCTTTTTGATCTACAGAAGAAAGAAAGTCATATGTTTGGAACATCATGAGGGCATGAGTAAATGATGACTTGAGAATGATGAGAATTTTCTTTTTTTTTTTGTGAATTATCCCTTTAAGATGGACTGTTATTAAAGATTTCCACATCCTGAAACACAAACCCATGTTACTATATTGTAAATGTGTACATACACATTCACCTTTTTATTTCATGCTTAAAGACACACTTCCTTCATGTTTTCATCCTCTCAAAATTGTGGTACTCTCTTCACCCCAGCATGCACTTATTCTTTCCATGCTTTAATGCTCTTAACTGTGCTTCAGTATTTTTACTCCTTCTTTTCTCACTGTTTTATCTCTACTCTCTTTATTCTCTCAACATGATTACGGGTGAAGTAAGAGGGGAGGTAGTTATCCAGCATGGATCAGTCAATGCTCTTTGAAAGTGCTCAGCATGGACTGAGGGTCGATCCTCCCTAAACCCATTCCATCATGGATTGACAGAGGTCTTTTAGCATTCTGCTGATCAGATACACTGCCAGCAACAGGAAGAGGGATGTTTAAAAAGAAAGGGAAGCAAAAGAATAAGGCAGCTGCAGTTGTTGTGTTTTTAAAAGTGAGAATCATTGAGATATTTACAGAGCTATTGATTCATGACCATTTAGTTGTTGATGTGTGCTGGTTCTAAAATCTTTGGAATCTGTTGATTGTGTTTTAAAAGAATAGTTTACATGGACAAGAAAATTCAGTCATGATTTATTCACTCTCATGTCATTCCTAACCCCTATCGTGTTGATTTTCAGTGGAACACTAAGACAAAATTGTGATCATGTTTGTTAAGCACCAAAAATGGCACCATAAAAGTAGTTAATTGGACTTGTGTGTTATATTCCAGTTCTTCTGCAGCCATACAATTTGTGTAATGAAATGTAGTTGTTAATGATGAATAATCTTACTCTCCAGTGAGCTACTGGATCACTGAGTCAGTGATTTAAACTTGAGAACTGAATCTTTAAACAAATTGTTCTTTTGACCATTGAAATTGAAATTCAGTTGTCTGTTTCACAAATCAAGCCGAGCAATTCATATAAATCAGCCAGGTTAACGTTTTTACTATTTTCTAACATAGTAAGAAGACCTGAAACATACAACCTTCAAAAAACTGAATTACCCCACCAAAAAAAGTAATAAATAAAATGACTGAATTGCCTGTTTACCAAAAGAAAGAAAGAGTAAATAAGGACTGAATTTATGAATAAAAGTTGATCTTGGTAGTATGTGTTCTAACTGATTCTACTGTTTTTAGAAGGAGAAGCGACTGGTGCGGCAAACGTCCAGACCTCAGCACCTCCCATCCAAAATGTATCATCCATAGTGACCGCTTGTGCAGCAACAGCTATATTAACAACCGTCCTATTTGCCATTGTGTGTGTCACCTACCAGACACGGGCTTCACTCAGGAAAACATGCCAATGTATGAATATACATGCACTGAATATACACACAAAAGTAATCCACTAAACCACTTAAAACATAAATGTAACTCACATTTCATTCAACCTCTACTCTCAGGTTGTTTATCACCGGTCAGTAACAGTCACCAAGACAGTGACGCAGCTTCGGTTCCCATAACAACCCTACACACAGTGATGCAGGATGCAGAAGTGGACACATCAAGTAAGTGTGTATGACAGGCTGTGAATTACAGCTTGATTAAAGACACAATGGGATGTGATGTAAAAATAACAATGCCGCCTATACACCACATGGCAAAATATCACCTTCAAAAAGAGATTCAAAGTCTATTTAAAACAAGTGTCTTAGCATGACAGTATGGTGTTTCTAATAGGAGCCTGGTGCTGACACTGATTAGCAGTGTTATCCCATAATAAAGAAACTATGTCCTCTGCCTGTGTTGTTCTGCATTGAAATGACCTTTAAAATGCAGTTTCAGATTTTTATATTATGTTTCTGAGGTTAGTTTAAAGTCTGCAAAGTTTTTTTGCACCAAAAAGGTCCAATAGTCGAAAGATGTGACCCTGGACCACAAAACCAGTCTTAAGTCGCTGGGTATATTTGTAGCAATAGCCAAAAATACATTGTATGGGTCAAAATTATTGATGATTTTTCTTTTATGCCAAAAATCATTAGGATATTAAGTAAAGATCATGTTCCATGAAGATGTTTTATAAATTTCCTACTGTAAATATATTAAAACTTAATTTTTGATTAGTAATATGCATTGCTAAGAACTTCATTTGGACAACTTTAAAGGCGATTTTATCAATATTTCGTTTTTTTGCACCCTCAGATTCCAGATTTTCAAATAGTTGCATCTTGACCAAATATTGTCCTATCCTAACAAACCATACATCAATGGAAAGCTTATTTATTCAGCTTTCAGATGATGTATAAATCTCAATTTCGAAAAATTGACCCTTATGACTGGTTTTGTGGTCCAGGGTCACAAATGATAATTTTTTAACCTCTTATTGGCTAACTTTATTGCACCGTATTGTAGGGCTGGGCAGTATGACGGTATATATCCTTACTGTGGAATAAAGTTTTAATCGTTAGAGATTTTGCTCTATCGTGTATTCCGCAGTATGCAAATATATCTGCGTAACACAGTACTACTTAAAAGTTATATACACCTTTATATACACCTTGAGTGACAAGGAAACATGCATGAATGAGAAAAAGAGTGGGACGCACTTGATAGTTATGAAGTGCAATAAGCAGTGAAAAGAACTCAATCCGCTGCTTGCACTGACTGACACACAGCCGAAGTGTGCGCACTGAAAGCGCCTCTCAGACAGCATGTGATCGCGATCTCTTTCGTGTTTTATTGTGCTTGAATGGTCAAATATGAACACAATTATGTCAAAATTCCCATCTTGTGGAGTATTCACGTAAACACAGTCGTTTATATGTTAAATAAACGTAAACAGTTGGGTGAAAACCGAATATGTATCAGTATATTGGATCCGTGCAGTTGGTCTTAAAGGGACAGCACCCTTATTAACCTGGATCTTTTTTGGATTTTTAATAAGAATCAATTCATGTTTTATTGATACAGTGAAGACTATGCAGTGTTTTGTTTGTACACTTTATTCAATTTCTGTAATATTTCTTATTACATGTTAAATAAACCTAGCTTACTATAGCTGAATAAATTAAAAGTTTATTTCATATTTATGTTCTATTGTGTTTATAACTTGCTTCTTTTTCTTATTTTTAATAATAAAAATAAAATAAAAATAGCTATATTGAGATATATATCGTTAACGTGAAATAAAATTTCTCATACCATGAAAGAAGATTTTGGTGATATCGCCCACCCCAACCGTATTGCACGCTCTTTACAGCATGTTGTGCGTTTGATACTCAAGATGTCAAGCACTGTGATAGACTGTGTATGTTTGAGCCTGAGTCAGATCACAAGGCAAAAGAAATTGAAACACGACCATTTGCAACACAATGTAACAAATGTAACCAAATATCTATATACGGATTACTGTTAACACTGTAAGATTAAAAAAATGTAACAAACCGCATCGCCTCCAAGGACAAAATGCTTGCCACTGCCATATCTTTCAATAAAAGACATAAAACACAAAACCAGCAGCATGTTTAGAATAGTTCACAAAACAGTCCATTGTGAAATGTGAAGAACAAACAAAAACTTTAACTTTCAGTCGCTCATGCACGTCATTAAAAATAAACTTCGGCCATGCATTCCTCAGATCTTTAGGAAGGCTATGCAAAGTATTTGGAGGTGCAGTTTCTTTACATCCACTGACAGAACAATGCCTGAGTTTGACAGCCTTACTCAACATCTTTATCCAACATCAGTATCGCTCTTGTGATTGAAAGACAGACACGAGTTGTTCAGAACGAATCTCCTTGATCACGTAAGACCATGACGCATGTTAAGGGGTGTTTCGAAGGGGCATTTCAGAAGAGTAGAAAAGAATAATTCATATTTTAAACTGGGGTATTTTTAAATGAACCACAAAAGGAGATTTCTTAAAAAATGTCCTGCACACTTGTTCATATAATGGCAGTAGATGCCATTATCAAGTTTTTTTTTTTTAAGTTCATTATCAAGAGCATCAAGTTTTCAAAAAAAAAGATGAAAAAGTATCACAGAACGGTCCCATACAACGCGTGCTGTATATTCCAAGTGTTCTGGGGGTATATAATAGTTTTGATGAAAACCAAACTGAAATTTAGGGTGGGTTGCACCAATAAGAATTCAGCTTAAATCTAGACTAAATCAAGATTTATCCAATAATTCTGTTGCACCAATCTTTAAACCTTGTTTAAAAATAAGCAGGTATACATTTAAACAGCCTTGTTGGTACAACCCACCCTTAATGTATTATTTAACAACAATTCTGACCAATGCCTATGTGTTCAATAAATTAAATAATCTACCAATGGGAAAAATGAGCTCAATTTAAGATACATTCTCTGAAAATAGGACTATTATCTGACACAACTTTGAATCTCATGTCAATTTATCTTGTTTTATGTATGTTAAGATATTTTTATTAGAGAATGAGACATAAGCCCTATTCGCACGGGATTAGTATTACTTGGTGACCTCCAGTCATTTGTAATAATTGCGGAGGTTGTCTGTGATCTTAATCCCGTGCGAATCGGCCATGTCTGTAATTTGTAAAGTAAAAATTCCCCTGCAAATGACCTACCATATTTCGCCGAACACCGAGGTCCTGTGATAATATTAGTCCCGTGCGAATCGGCATCTCTGTGATTCGGCCAGCATTTGGCGGGTCGCATATCATTTTTCGAGGTTTTTGTTTGCTGTGCACCTTTTTATCCATCCATATAGTGTTTGATAGTATTTTTGGGTGCTGTCATCATATCGCTACACCATACAATTTGCAGAAAGAGAAAGCTGAAAAGGTTTTGAGGTTAATGTGATACAAATCAAGCATAAAGCTTGAGATATTATTTTAACCTGGTGAAATGTAAATGACACAGCGCACGAAACTACATTAGTTTCTTTTTTTAAATCCATCTGGACCATAGAACGGGACTCTCAAAGCCTTGACATCCGGGTATCCGGGAGACAAGTCAGTAAATTCGAGTAAAATCACAGACTTCGCTTATCCCGTGCGAATGCACCACACGAAATTCAGATGTGGGGGGGTAATTTCAAAATCACACAAGGTCCCCAGATAATACTAATCCCGTGTGAATAGGGTTATAGGGTGGGTTGCAACACAGGGATTAAGCAAAGAAAAATTAAGCAAAGAAAGCTAAATGAAGCAAAGTTATATCTAATCAAGGATTTGTTGATCTGGGTTTATTTTAAATCGAGTTGTGTTGCACCATGAGACACGAGGGGCGCAGCAGTAATGACTGGTGCTCACCTCATCATCACCGCTGCTGTTGAATGCTACAAATATTCCTCCTATCTTTTCTTTGTCTGAAACTGAGATCTGCCGGCTTCAATCTTCATTTTTATTTGTAATAAACACCTCTATGAGACCTGATGACACACCCACTGTTTCTGTCGTTGTTTAATCAGCCACATACTGTAATTGTAGGTGCACTTTAATTTAAACCTCCTCAACTGTAAGTTAAAAGTTGTTCTCTAATTGAGATTTAAATCTGAGTTTAAAGTTACGGAGCAACAGGATTAAAATTTATCTATCTTAAATATAAATTAAATCCAGGATCAAAAGGATGCTTTAAATGTAAAGTTGCTTATTTTAAACAAGGTTTTTAAAGATTGGTGCAACAGAATTATTGGATAAACCTTGATTTAATCTAGATTTATGCTTAATCCTTATTGGTGCAACCCACCCATAATATTTATTAAGAAACATAGCACCAAAATCATCTGTGCTTATAATTACAGTATAGCAGTGATGTATTTAAAAGAGAGAAAAAAAGAGATGCAATGATTGTGTGCCTGACTTGTTTGGTCTGTGTCCTATAAGATCCTTGCCCGCTATTGAAGGACCCTTGCACGCTTAATGACATCACCACAACGATGACCTCTGATCTTGGCCTGAATGGGTGTGAGGTTCTTCCTCTGGTGCGAAGCTCGGCCTGCACTGATCCTGCAACAGGAGTCATCATGCAGGCAACAGAAACACCTGAAGTTTCTTCTTCAGACTCTGCCCTTTCCAGACAGCATGTCATTCTCACTCTGGTAGGAGGACAGTCTACAGTGAGGCCCTGCTGTGCCGTAGAGCAGCGGACAGTCTGGGGGCTTCATGCTCCGGTAGAGTGCACTGAACTGGACCTTCAGCATCTCTCCCAACGCCCCAGAGCTCCAGACATTCAGACCTTCATAACCAGAAATATCCCAGAGTGCCCCCATTCCTGATTAGGGTTTGGTACCGAAACCCAGTGCCGTACCTATGTAACCGGTATGTACTAGAACAGAATCAGAACGCAGATTTCGGTGCCTCATTTTGGTGCCACTTAAATGATTGAGCGATCGATTGAAATATTTGTTCTCTGGTTCTCCTAAACGGACATAAGGATCACCGTCACCGCACGTGAAAAATAATTTCCCGACTGAGAAAATTCATGAAAGCAAGTCGGAAAGCTCTAATAATACAAATCCAACACATCTTTGTAGTAATGCGAGTGTCCATGTTGTTTTCACATTCCGACTTAAAAGCACAACTCGGGAAATGAGAGCATCCGAGGAAAAGTATCGATTTGGCACTGGTATCGAAAAAAAACCAAACGATACCCAACCCTATTCCTGATGCTGCAGGACGTGGAGAGTAGAAAGCAAGAAGGGAATGTGGAAAAGGAGATTGTTAACGTGAAGAGAGATCACATCTGCAAACGTATGATCAAAGTAATGAGTCACTTAAGGACGCAACATACACGTTCAGTACAAACTAGTAAGTGAAGCAAGTGTGTTACTGTAGTTGTTTGACATTTCTGCAATGTGTGAAACAGGTTGTTATGAGCACAAAAGGGCATTAACAGGACAGAGGCAGAGAGAAAAATTATTTCCATTTTTTTTTTTTCAATTATCACAAGTCATTTGGTAGGGTACATTGATTCATTGAACTGCTGCTGCTACTCCACTTTGGAAATACTAGTCGACTTGTCGAAATTTAGTCATTTTAATGTTACAGTATAAAATCTATACATTATTTTGAAAAGTGGATATCTGGGGCGGGAAAACAAATTCATTTAATTTCACCTCAGACCTTACAAGTGCTGCTTAAAAAATCATAAAAATCATTTATTCAGTGAAAGTATAACAGCTGGAAAGACATGAGGGTGAATAAATGGTGACAGAATTCTCATTTTTGTATGAACTACACTGCCATTCAAAAGTTTGGGATTAGTAAGATTTTTTTTTTTTAATTATTACTTTTATTCAGCAAGGATGCATTACATTGATGAAAAGTGACAGTAAAAACATTTATAATGATTTATTATAAATCAAATAATTCTGACAAATTTGGAAAAAGTTTAAGTTTTGAATCCATAAAAATAAAAAGCAGCATAACTGCTTTCAACATTGATAATAATAAGAAATGTTTCTTGAACACTAAATCAGCATATTAGTATGCACTCTGAAAGATCATGTGACACTGAAGACTGGATTAGTGGCTGCTGAAAATTCAGCTTTGACACCACAGGAATAAATTACATTTTAACATATATATATTTTAAAAAAATCAGTTATTATAAATTGTAATAATATCTCACAATTACAGTTTTACTGTAATTTCCAAAAGATTTATTTCCAAAACATTAAAAACCCAAAGTTCTGAACATTAGTGTACCCCTTTAAATTTGGTAGAGTTTGTCTCTGCTTCATGGTTCATATCATCCTGAAGCTGAAAATTTTAGGCAGCTGGCACTGCACCTCTGTGGGCTTAATTTCGCTAATCACTGGATTTATAACTACTACTACTATTACTATTCGTAGTACCTGATTTACTGTTTACTTTGCTAAAATTTTCTACAGTTTTGGACTGAAGGGTAGTACATTGCCAAAGTAAACCAAACTGGCTCATCCCTAAGCTGTTTCATATTACTAGGCTTTGCCACTGCATTATTACTTAAAACCAGCAAAACATGAAAAACTTTTTTTTTTCATCAATTTATTGTACACTAAATTTAACGGACAGCCTGTGTAGAAAAAAAATATGCTGAAGAAAAGGAATTCTGGCCATCACAGGTTGTTGTGTGAACCAGACTTATGCTTTATCAATTGTTATACCATGGGGCTGTTGAATGCTTGAATATGATTGGTTGATGAAGGTTCTAAGGTGTGCAGTTATTTTCTGGAAACTGCACAGCAAACGTAGTTCCAGGCAGTGCTTGACCGCATTACATGTCCATATCACTTCCCCAAATGATTTCAGTTATTTCAAAAGTCACACACGGAGACACAAGCGTAGAAATGTGTTGTTAGCACTGCTCAGACAATATTATCAGTAAAATAGTTTATCAACTTAAAGGCTACTTGTCATTGCTTACTAGCAAGGTAATAACGGCGCTGTTCTTGAAGCAGATGAACTGTTTCGTATGGCGTTATTTTACTGACAAATATCGAGAGCGCATTATTGTAGCACGAAAGCACATTAATACAATGCGCGAGCGCGAATCTCTCCGCTCACGCGCGGATTTCCTTTGCTCTCGCACAAAACCGGACGCTCGCGCTCAGATACACGCTGCTCTCGCCCAGAGAGAG